GATGCACTAAGTAAAGAAGGCAAGCTGGTGGAGATAGTGTGATGCTTTGGTCTAGCACAGTCCATGCCTTGATGGGTCAAGGATGTTTTGGTGGCAAAAAAAGGGACCTACTAAATATTAGGTGGGTGGCTATCATGCTATGGTGGGTGGTCATAATGTTTGGGCTGACGGGTGTGCATCATAATTCAATCAGGTAACTAGTAATGTGCTCACTGCACCACTCTATAAAACAAACAATCAGGATTCACCTTCAAATCACTTCCAATCCAGTAATATGAATGTAGTATTAAAACCCCAATTTTTTATTATGAAACCATCACTCTTAATCGGTTAAACACTGGACTGGCAGTTATTATGGTCAACAATGCCAATAAACACTCACAGTTAAAAAAAACATTACTGCCATAGCTCCAGGTCCTCCATGCACCTTCTGATCCAGGAGCTCTCACCCACCAGTAGGACTACCTCCTCCCATTGTCCCTTGCACATATTAGCAATCTGCATGTGCAATGAACTGCTGAAAATTTCTCCTGGTCTCTCCACCTGACATGCTAAGGTATCAATCATAGCCAATGGGTGGAACACGTAATCCATTCATTTCCAGCCTCTCCATGCTGCCGGTCCCTGGCTCGTCTGATTACCCGCTCTGGCAATCAAAGCCTGGCTTCTGTTTTTGACTACGTTCCTGAACTGTGATATTTTTACTGTTTTCATTAAAGGTGAAATTTTAACTGCACTTTCTGTCTCTGCTTGCTATGGTTCCTGACACTGTCTGTAGGCACAGGGAGAGGCTGGACACATCAGTGCAGTCTATGAGGAAGGAGGGGGGGGGGGGGGGGGGAAGGTGGCTCATTAGACTACACTAGTAAAAGGATAACAAACAAAAAAACTTTTTCTGAATTAGAGAGATTGTAAACTAGAAGAATATATGTACATTTGTGTTCAAAATAATAGCAGTCAGACATCACTAACCTGATCAATCACTGTTTTTGGTAGAAATTATATTTCTACATGGCAAATAATTTACTAGCAGGTGTAGTAGAGTAATAGAAATCCGACAGACCCAACAGTCATGACATGCATGCTGCTGATTCTGTGTAATTGAATCACTAATTGAAAGGGGCATGTTCAAAATAATAGCAGTGTGGAGTTCTATTAGTGAGGTCATTCATTCTTTGAAAAACAGGTGGCAATTATTGCCCTTATTTAAGGAAGGAAGGCAGCAAATGTTGTACATGCTGGTTACAGTGCGTTTCTCTCTGAAATTCTGAGGAAAATGGGTCGTTCCAGACATTGTTCAAAAGAACAGCGTACCTTGATTAAAAAGTTGATTGGAGAGGGGAAAACATATAAAGAAGTGCAGAAAATGATAGGCTGCTCAGCTAAAATGATCGCAAATGCTTTTAAAATGGCAACCAAAACCTGAAAGACGTGGAAGAAAGCGAAAAACTACCATTCAAATGTATAGAAGAATAGCCAAAATGGCAAGGACTCAGCCAACAATCAGCTCCAGGAAGATCAAAGAAGGTGTAAAGTTACCTGTGAGTACTGTTACAATTAGAAGAAGACGCCTATGTGAAGCCAAGCTATCTGCAAGAAGCCCCCGCAAAGTCCCACTGTTGGAAAGAGACGTGCGGAAGAGGTTACAATTTGCCAAAGAGCACATTGACTGGCCTAAAGAGAAATGGCGCAACATTTTGTGGACTGATGAAAGTAAGATTGTTCTTTTTGGGTCTAGTGGCCGGAGACAGTTTGTCAGACGACCCCCAAACACTGAATTCAAGCCACAGTACACTGTGAAGACAGTGAAGCATGGTGGTGCAAGCATCATGATATGGGGATGTTTCTCATACTACGGTGTTGGGCCTATTTATCGCATACCAGGGATCATGGATCAGTTTGAATACATCAGAATACTTGAAGAGGTCATGCTACCTTATGGTGAAGAGGAAATGCCCTTGAAATGGGTGTTCCAACAAGACAACGACCCCCAAACACACCAGTAAACGTGCAACATCTTGGTTCCAGACCAACAGGATTGACGTTATGGAGTGGCCAGCCCAATCCCCGGATCTTAATCCAATAGAAAACTTGTGGGGTGACATCAAAAAATGCAGTTTGTGAGGCAAAACCAAGAAATAGAGAAGAACTGTGGAATGTAGCCCAATCATCCTGGGCTGGAATACCTGATCACAGGTGCCAGAAGTTGGGTGACTCCATGCAACACAGATGTACAGCAGTTCTCAGAAACAGTGCGACTACAACGAAATATTCATTAAGTGATTCAAAGGAAAGCAAAATCTTCAAACATTTTTCAGTTTATATAGTGAATGTTTGAGATTGTAAAGAAGAATACAAACACTAGTGGTGTGACCCTCCTGCGCTTCAAGTGTGTGTTTAAAAATGATATTAAACCAAATGAATAAATGGGTGTATGTATCCCAAAGGGAGCTGCTAGCATTAAATCATATACCAGTGATCAAGTGAATATAAAACATAAGGAATGCTGCGCTACATTCAAATCAATTTGTGAATGTGGGATCCCAAAATATTAAATCAAAAAGTGTGACAATATTACCAATATTAATCTATAAGTGCTTACTAATACTATCAAAATCAATTAAATCACTTAAAAATAATATAGAAACACAAAAAACTGTATCCATACGTATGTGCATAAATACAAACACATATATATATACTTAAAACACACGTGCCTGTTGTGAAGTGAAAAAGAATGACCAAAATATTGATACACGCAAACTTATATCTCAAAGTCCAAAAATAGAATATTGTAAGTGAAAAACAGTAAACGGTGCTTCCAAATTATACTGTTAGTGACCACGAGTGAAAAAAATCGTGCAGGTTTCTGGGTGTATATAGATCTATGAATCCAACCACCTTCTGGATTGGCCTCTCACCTCATCCCTTCGACCCTTGCGGGTCAAAGAGCAGTAGTGGATCCCTCTCACAGATCCTCCAGGTACCAAAGCACTCCAAGACAGCTCTCAGAATATAATATTCCCACTCAGGCTCTTCTCCAGGAAAAGTTGAAATATCAATCTCTCAGAATGAGACAAAAGAATCCTCCCATAGTGTAGTATATTTATTATACCATAGGAACATGTAACAAGTGTAAATAAGAACTCACATAGCAGCCAGTCCACATTAAAGCCTCATGCTTTCAGATGAGGATATGTCTGTTGGGTGTACAGCTGAATGCACAGGTGTACCAAGATGGCCGCCACGCCGGAAATACGTCACCGCGCTACGCCAACGCGTTACGTCACAATGTCATGTGACTTCATCATACGCCAAACACTGCTATTTTTTTGAACAGTCTAATATTCACTTTTCTTCAATTATTTTTAGAGGAATCAACACAAATTTGATATATTTTTCTTCATGTTTTGATTTGGAATAGAATGTGTAGTGTTCCCAATGCATTTGTGTGTATGGAAATAAAAGCTATTAGAAGGATTTTGAGCTTTATTCACTTTTTTCAACACACTGCTATTATTTTGAACACAACTGTATATATATATTTTTTTTAATGGTTGAACTGGATGAACTTTTGTCTTTTTTCAACCGACTAACTATGTAACCCCAATTGTATGTGTTTTCTACAGAGATTTATGTGTCTTCACATGCATCTAGATTAGTTACAGTGACACTAAATTTTGGTTTAAAAAAAAAAATCTATTTCAGTATGTAGTCTTAACTCAAAAGTCCCTTCTATTACTCTCATCCCACCGATCCTCTTCTTGGGTGCCCCCGCAAGTGCTTCTGACTCCTCCTCTCTATCCAGTGTCTCCTGACTCCTCTCTATCCAGTGGTCCTGACTCCTCCTCTCTATCCTCTGACTCCTCCTCTCTATCCAGTGCTCCTGACTCCTCCTCTCTATCCAGTGCTCCTGACTCCTCCTCTCTATCCAGTGCTCTTTGTGTTCTCTATATCAGTGTTTCTCAATCTTTTTTCAGTCAAGGCACCCTACAAAATTCTCCACAATCTTGAGACACCCATTACAAAATGTAAAAAACTGAACAAATTGTTTTACAGAGCAGAATAACATCCACACATGTAGGACACCCAGCATTAGAGGTGATTTATTCTTCCAAAGCAAATATACCTTTGTACACTCGTACTGACTAGTATTCCATTGTTTCTCTTCTCCCTCAGTTTCTCACCCTCACTCAGCTAATGTGACCGAGGTGCAAGCCAGGATGCTGCGCAATGGCCAACGTCCTCCTTATCAACTGACAACATCATTGATTGTTATGTCGCTGGCAGCTAAAAGGTTGTAATGGTGCACAATGAGAACCGGGGCTTTGTATAACTAAAAGGCACGCTTGATCCACCTGCTGACTTTTATACAATTTTTGGACAATTGTTAGGCATTTTGTCAAAGCACCCCTAAAGAAACCTCAAGGCACCCTGGTTGAAAAAGGCTGCTTTATATTATCACCCCCCTCTGTGTACCCTGTATTTTCCCCCGTGTGTACTCTATATTATCACCCCCCATTTGTACGCTGTATAACACTCGTATTCTGTGCTATGCAGTCTATCTTATGGGAAGAAGTCTGCAGTGTGGGCAGCAGGCGGCGCTGTGGTCTGCAGATAACAATTGGGAGCCCCCGTTCTTCCAGGGTGCGGAAGTGTGTACCCTGTAATATCATCCCCCTAATACGGACACTCGTACTCTGTGCTGTGAATCTTATGAATAGGAGTTTTCAGTGCAGCCAGTAGAGGTCGCTGTGGTCTGCAGATTATACACAGCCCTAGGTCTCTTCCTATTTTGGGGAGTGATCACGTGATGTAAACCCGGAAGTGATCCATTGACATTCATGACAGCATGGCTTGGTGTAGGGAGATGTGAAGATCACATAACACACTCCAGTTATAGATCTGCAGTACACATGGAAGTGATTGGACGTCTATAGAGTCTGCTCAGCACACACCTACGGCTCTTCCTCCTGCGCTCAGTCCCCTTCTGGATCTATATGCTCGTCCGCCTCAGCCGTTCCCGTGTGATCTCCACTCAGCAGGTAGCCGCGGGAGTGCGCACAATGCCGCGCAAGGAGAGCAGAGAGGTGAGTGCGCATCTTGTAATTGTGTATGTTTAGCAGTGCGAAATCGCATCCTGTGTGCGCCCCATGTGCATCAGTGCGAAACCGCGCCCCGTGTGCGTCAGTGCGAAACGCGTCCTGTGTGCATCAAAAAACACCCCCTATTGGCTTCAGTGCAAAACCACGCCCCGTGTACGTCAGTGCGAAACCGCGTGTGCGTCAAAAAACACCCCCTATTGGCTTCAGTGCGAAAACACGTCCCGTTGGCTTCAGTGCAAAATCACGCCCTATTGGCATCAGTGTAAAACTGCATCCCGATGGCTTCAGTGCAAAATCGCGTCCCATTGGCTTCAGTGCAGAAACGCCCCCTATTGCCGTCTGTGCAGAAACCGCGTTCTGATGGCGTCATTGCAAAAGCTCCTGTCAATAGCAATCCTATATGATCACTTATCTCCGCATGCCACTCTACTCTATCACTTGTGAGTCTGGAATGCACCGCTACAAACTCGCACAGGACCCTTTTAATGACGGCACTCAAAAATGCTTTTTGATGGCATCTGTGTGAACCACCTGAATAGGAAGACATAATATCTTGCCTGTCATGCGAATCTGTAAGTTTGAAATGCATCCAGAATCACATATATGTAAACCAGGGTGGCTCCATTCACATCTGGACTTTTGGGATAGTTGCAGAATCGCTGTGATCACAAAACGCAGGTTCAGATTTTTAATGGCACCTAAAACACGGTTCGGTTTTTCTGTGCAGGAAATCACATTGCCTGAAGCTTGTCACCCTAGTGTTGCCTTGCCTCTGACAACCCACGCTACTCTAAAGGAAAAACTCGCTCCTTTTTTTTTTTTTATTTGGCTCCTACGTTCAAAGCAAATTGGTCAAGCCCTGATGTAGAGTACTCTTGTAGTAATTATAGTACTCTGCCCCCTGTGCTTGTATACAGCTGGGGTAGAGGCAGTATAATCACGATTGAGCGACATTCCTATCACCCCTTAGTATGGGGTCACATATAGATCACATGTCTTCCCACATCCAGAACACCTCGCTGTTTAACAGACTCATGGGGGGGCACTATTAAGTCTTAGTGGCACCCCCAGCATCTAAAACACAGTGGAAATCCACATGGTACCCTAGCACTGTGCAGTTGTGTTTTGGAAAAAGGGACGGGGACTTTTCCCTGCATTTCCCACAATCACAGGATGGGGTGTACACATGGCATTGTACAGCAAAAATGCCCCCTGACATGTTCATTTGGCAGTACTGACCGTCCCACATGACCTATTTTTACTGAATGGGGCCCCCTGTGACCATGTGTGATGCATGCGGTTGTGATGTGGGCTTAAATGGGTTAAAACAGGCAGTGACACTGCTTGTCAAACACCCTCTGAAAAGTGATCCACCAGCCCTAAGTGCTTTCTAACCCTAGTTGTGAGGTCTGACCTACCCCTTCTGCCACTCCTGATCCAACAACAGCTAGGAAGGAGATGGACGCTTAATAACAGCAGATTGTTGTTTCCGCTGTGGGACATTTCTAGAGACAAGCAATGGAAAGAGGAATGCAAAGCCATTCCCCCCCCCCCCCCCCCCCCCCCCCGACCACATTCCCCTTTCCATTGCTTGTCTCAGGAAAGTATCCATAGCCAAAACAATCTGCAGTATTTAAGCGTCTATCTCCCTATCGCCTAGCTGGTGTCAGATTCCCCCCTACACACACGCGGGGTGCACATTAGGTGCACTCTGTGATCGCTGTGTACTTCAGACACAGCTTATTACAGACTGAGGTACAGGGCCACAGCGGCCCTTTACCATGTGATCAGCTGTGTCCAATCACAGCTGATCACATGTATACAAACTTGCCGGATATTGGCATTTCCTTTCCTCATGATCTCTCACTGTGTGAGGAAAGGATAGCTGATAACCTGCAATCCTTACAAGACACATTTACACTGATGATCAGTGCCCCAATTATCGATGCAGCTCATTAGTGCCCGACAATGCAGCATATCAGTGCTGCCTTATCAGCGTAGAAGAAAAATTACTTTTTTTGCAAAATTTTATAACAGAATCTAACTTTTTTTTTTTTTTTTTTTATTTTGTACAATATATTCGGTCTCTTTTGTTTGTGTAGGAAAAAAAAAAAAACAAGTGGTGAATAAATACCACCAAAAAAGCTCTGTCTCAAAACAATGATAAAAATTGCATATAGGTACAGTGTTGCATGACCGCGCAATTGTCATTCAAAGTATGACAGTGCTGAAAGCTGAAAATTGCTGAGCAGGAAGGGGGTGACAGTGCCCAGTATTGAAGTGGTTAAAGGCAGGTAAAATACAACCTAAAAAATGTCACACCTTCACAAACTACATACTGCTCAGTGTGTGCTTGTGTGCATAACACTTGCAAAAGGTAAGGGGGGGGGGGATGGGAAGTGAAGTTCCTCTTTAGGGTTCACCTACAGCTGCTAGTCCTGTACAAACCAATAACGGGCTAAGAGGTTCCACATCTGATCACACATGAAGCCATTTCAGGTAATTGGGGACAGATAAGTGGCCCTGTACACCAACAGTTTTTCTACCAGGGCCCTTGCCTATCCCTAATTACTCCCATGTGTGATGATGTGTGGACCGTTTTAGCCTGTCATTGGTTACAACTTAATGTGAGTACTTGGCCGTACTCACCAGAGAAATACGCTGATCTGGGCAGTGAACGGCTGTGTGGAATGGCTTGGGAAAAAAAAAACACTTTAATGAATTTTAATGTAAATATCCCAGTTTTTTGGTAAGGTGTAAAAGTTGATGTTGTAGCGAGTAAATGGATACCTAACATGTCAAGGCTTAAAATTGCGCACACTCATGGACTGGCACCAAAACTACAGTACTCAAAAATCTCTATAGGTGATGCGTTAAAAATTTTTACAGGTTACCAATTTAGAGTTCCAGAGGAAGTCTATCACTAGAGTTATTGCTATCACTATAATATTTGCTGCTGTACCTCATGTGTGGTGCAAACAATGTTTACATATGTGGGTGTGACCTATCAAATTCACTGCTGCACATAAACATGGGGGGTTTTAAATAATTATTATTATTAATTTTTTTTTTTTTTTACACTGTCCCTTTTATTTATTTTTATCACTTTTATTCCAATCACAAGAAATGTAAACATACCTTGTGATAAAAATAAAGCATGACAGGTAATTTTTTTGGAGACAGCTGGGGTTTATAAGACCCCAAATATCTCCTCTACCCTGAAGAGTATGAGCTAAAAAAACCATTGATCTCATGCTTTCCAGGGACAAAATGGCAGAGTTTACATCTGCCAGAACCGGAAGTGATGTCATGATGTTGCTTCCCGTCTCAGGACCATAGGGACTATCTAGTCCACAGCCAGCTCCATGATGACCAGGAGGCACCGTCCAATTGGATACCAGGCTCCCTGATCGCACGGGAGAGTCCAGAGAGGATCCAGTGGGTGGAGAAAGGGGGGGGGGGCACCCCATCCCCCTTCCTTTAAAAGCAATCCAGCCACTAAGATGACTTTTATATTTGAGGGAATCGCTGGCTGAAAAAATTAAAGATACCAGGAGGCCTGTAGCTGCAGGCATCATCCCCATATCTCCACTTCAAGTCCAGGACATCTACGAACAGGAAGTGGTTAATATTCTCATTCAAATGAATGGAATGGATGCCCTCAGGGGTCCTTGTACACAGTACTGACATATGAACACCAGATCTTCCTGGCAAAAAGTTCCTGAGCAAAAAAACACAAATATGGTCCATATAGTGCGTGTGTTGACACATGTATACACGTGTAAAATTTCCTCCAGCTTCCAGAATACCAAATATTTAAATATGGGTGTGATTTATGCATTTACAAACATGAGAAATACTGACCACTAATGCAGATTTTTTTTATTTTTCACTGATCTAAATGCTGCTCTAGTTTACTGATATTTATGGGACTGTGTACACCAATGGGCTGCATTCAGATTAGTTTAAAAAAAAAAAATGCATCGCCTAGGGTTGCATTTAAGTGGTATTAAACTTTTTTTTTTTTTTTGTCGTTGAATGGGCCTCTGGTGGGTTATTATTATTATACAGGATTTAGCGCCAACAGTTTGCGCAGTGCTTTACAAAATGAAGGTAGACATTACAGTTACAATACCATTTGGTACAAGAGGAAACAGAGGGCCCGGCTCGTTAGAGCTTACAATCTAGGAGGAAGGGTTGAGTGATACAAAAGGTAATAGCTGTGGGAGGGATGAGCTAATGGAGGAAATAAATGGCAGTTTACTAGTTAGAAGCAGGATAGGCTTCTTTAAAGAGAATGGTTTTCAGGGATCGTCTAAGGGTGGATAGATTAGGACATAGTCGGACAGATTGGGGTAGGGAGTTCCATAGGATGGGAGAAGCTCGGGAGAAGTTCTGGAGTCGAGCATGGGAGGAGGTGACACGGGAACTAGAGGGCAGAGAAGATCTTGGGAGGATCGAAGACAGCGGTTTGGTTGATATTTTGAGACCAGGTTGGTGATGTGTCTGGGGGGCTGAGTTGTGGATGGCTTTGTAAGTTGTTGTTAGTATTTTGATTTGTATTCGTTGGGTGAGTGGAAGCCAGTGGAGCGATTGGCAGAGAGGGGTAGCAGACACTGAACGGTTGGTAAGGTGGATGAGCCTGGCAGCAGTATTCATGATGGACTGGAGGGGGGATAGTCTATGTACAGGTAAGCCAATGAGGAGGGAGTTGCAGTGGTTGAGGCGAGAGATAACCAGGGAGTGAATTAGGAGCTTCGTGGTATCATTGGTTAAAAAGAGGCGTATTCTGGAGATGTTGCGGAGTTTGAGGCGGAATGCCATAATGTGCTAGCATGTACATTATATTAGCACATTTTGACAGACTTACCTGCGAAATGGTGCCCTCCCGCTTGTCCCGGGTACTTCCATCTTCGCACAGTCTTCCTTCTGGGTTTCGTCTGTCTGGCCACCTGAATGGCCGCACCACAATGATGTCACTCCCGTGTATGCACACAGGAGTCACATCATCACAGCACAGATGAGGCTCCGTAAATCCACTCTGAGCTGCGCATGCTCGGCTCAGTGTACATTACCGCTGACTGGCAAAAGGAAGCATTTATGACAAAAGAGACTGATTTCTGTCATAAAAACCCAATCAGCATTTTTTGAAAATTGAGGGAAATGCCACTTTAAAGTGATATCAAAGACAATTTTATTTAAAAAAAAAAAATAACAAACATGTTATACTGACCTGCTGTGCGTACTGGTTTTGTACAGAGCAACCACAATCCTTCTCGATTGGAGGATTATTTTTGTCTGTTTTGTTACTAGCGTTTCCTACATATAAAATTTGGGTTTTAGTTTCAGTCAATATATTTTAGCAACTGCAATACTGAAAAACCTGATATATATTTGTCACTACAATATCTAGGCATGTATGTGTTTCTTTGTGTGTCTGATTTCAATTTCCTTTGACTTTTTGTATGTTAATTTTGTTATGAGGCTATTAGAGTTAGTGTTTGTTTTTCCTTGCAGGGTAAGGGTCAGAAGAAAGATGCCCCCCAGAGTCCGCAGCCCACAGGTCCAGTTATAAGAGATAAAAGTGGATCCATTTCTATTGCTATTCACGCTAAGCCAGGTTCCAAACAAAATGCTATAACAGGTAAACTATTTGTGAGTAACATAGGCCTTTCCTGAGTAATGAATGTAGCGCAATATATTTCATTTATGTTTTTAGTGCATGCGTTGATGTGCAAATGGCCACAAGTTATGACCCCTAGTGCCTGGTATGCTGGTGTCCCACATGGTATAGTGCTATGCTTCTGTATTGAGCTGCTGGCTCAGTCTCCAAGTGGGGTCAATGAGAGGCTGAGCCAGCTGCCGAAAGTCGGGATCCTTCCACTGGCTGAGTGACGTCAGGCACCAGCAAGCTTCTAAAAAAGAGGGGTTTGTGAAAAGAGATTTCACAGAAAAGCGGCTACATAATGAATAGAACGTGACACTCAGAAAATTTCCAAAAATTATGCTTTATTACACATATATAGATATGACATATGGGCATATGCCCTGGTTCACCATCACCTCAGTATGAGACAATAACACACAGACCTAAAACCATATAAAATGACATCAAGACCGGTCTAAATGCATGTGCAACAGAAAGAATGACTTCAAGAGTCTAATACCTCTGCAGCGCAAGCACATAGGTGAACACTTCCATGGGAGGTGTATCCAAAAAATTGTACCATAAGTATACCATAATATTGAATATATAATAAGTGTCCATATCAATCTAGTGAATCCCAATAAGGGAATCCAAAAATTATACTATGGATATATATGTATATCACATGTATGCAAGGCAGCAGCACAAAAAGCGTGAAGAAGAGAACAATAGGCCTAGGGCCTGTATGGAAAAAGACATAAATGTCCAAAAATGATACAATGCATTCCTGTGCCAGCACACGTGGTTGGGGCCCATTCATCTGTAATATGAACAGCTGTATCTCAGAGCTTTTGAATGAAAATAAGCCCCAGTTATTCCCAGGATGGGAGAAAAGATGCAAATAGCAACATTCTGCTTGAAATGGTGTCTTCACCACTGTTTGTGGACTACACACCACCTTTTGTAGAAAAAACAACAAGACATATCCCAAGGTATCTTCTGCTTGTGTAGAAATATATATGGTGTTATATCCTGTGTCCTACATAAAGCACCATGATGTCCCCATCCTGTAGTAAAACAAATAATGTGGGAAGTCACTGACAGAGCTTACACTCAGTAAGATATATATGATCATATAGATCACAGAGGATCATATATCTAATGTCCCGCAACAATCCACTCACCACCTGTGCTGTGGAAAATGAGAAATAAAAGAAATGTCCTTCATGGGTATTGCCATACACGCCACAGAGACCAGGGAGCCACCGCTGACATCCACCGATATACCGCGGGCTCGGCCCAGCCCCCCAAATTTGGCGCTTGTGCTGCTCACACTTGCCTCATGGCATGTGAAAATGGCTTCCTCCTCATGGACCAGCGTGCGTTCCACCTAGTGCGCATGACCGGAAGTGACGTAACTGACGTATGACGTCAACGCGTTTCGCCGATGGGCGTATCTCACTCAGCTTCGTATTGGTCCTGACGAAGCTGAGTGAGATACGCCCATCGGCGAAACGCGTTGACGTCATACGTCAGTTACGTCACTTCCGGTCATGCGCACTAGGTGGAACGCACGCTGGTCCATGAGGAGGAAGCCATCTTCACATGCCATGAGGCAAGTGTGAGCAGCACAAGCGCCAAGAGGGGGCTGGAGCCCCGCGGTATATCGGTGGATGTCAGCGGTGGCTCCCTGGTCTCTGTGGCCGTGTATGGCAATACCCATGAAGGACATTTCTTTTATTCTCATTTTCCACAGCACAGGTGGTGAGTGGATTGTTGCGGGACATTAGATATATGATCCTCTGTGATCTATATGATCCTATATATCTTACTGAGTGTAAGCTCTGTCAGTGACTTCCCACATTATTTGTTTTACTACAGGATGGGGACATCATGGTGCTTTATGTAGGACACAGGATATAACACCATATATATTTCTACAAGCAGAAGATACCTTGGGATATGTCTTGTTTTTTTTTCTACAAAAGGTGGTGTGTAGTCCACAAACAGTGGTGAAGACACCATTTCAAGCAGAATGTTGCTATTTGCATCTTTTCTCCCATCCTGGAATAACTGGGGCTTATTTTCATTCAAAGCTCTGAGATACAGCTGTTCATATTACAGATGAATGGGCCCCAACCACGTGTGCTGGCACAGGAATGCATTGTATCATCATTTATTGGACATTTATGTCTTTTTCCATACAGGCCCTAGGCCTATTGTTCTCTTCTTCACGCTTTTTTGTGCTGCTGCCTTGCATACATGTGATATACATATATATCCATAGTATAATTTTTGGATTCCCTTATTGGGATTCACTAGATTGATATGGACACACTTATTATATATTCAATATTATGGTATACTTATGGTACAATTTTTGGATACACCTCCCCATGGAAGTGTTCACCTATGTGCTTGCGCTGCAGAGGTATTAGACTCTTGAAGTCATTCTTTCTGTTGCACATGCATTTAGACCGGTCTTGATGTCATTTTATATGGTTTTAGGTCTGTGTGTTATTGTCTCATACTGAGGTGATGGTGAACCAGGGCATATGCCCATATGTCATATCTATATATGTGTAATAAAGCATAATTTTTGGAAATTTTCTGAGTGTCACGTTCTATTCATTATGTAGCCGCTTTTCTGTGAATCTCTTTTCACAAACCCCTCTTTTTTGAATGCCTTTTTTGGCTACTGAATAGAAACCGAATATTGGGTGACATGATAACTTAACTGATAACCTCTTAACAATTACCTTTAGTACCAGCAAGCTTCTGCTGCCAGCTGAAAACGGGGTCACAGGAGTGTTGTGATCCCCTAGGAGAAGTATAGCCAACAGAGCTTTGACTGTACTTGTCCTTTAACACCTGACCCTAGTTTTGCTAATTTGGCATGTGTTAGTATAACTGTACATATCATTACAACTACTTAGTGTATCCAAGTGATTTATACCTTGTTTTTTTTAAAACGGATTTGTCGATCACTTGCCACAGTCGGTGAGTTAGCTCGGTCTCACTATGTTGACCTTAAACCACCATGGATTCATGTGTTAAAGACCCACCTTACCACTGTACATATGCGTTACATCAGCCTTTCTCAACCAGGGTGCCTTAAGGCTTTTTCAGGGGAGCCGTGGCAAAATGCTTAAAAACTGCTCAAAAAATTGCATACAAGCCTACAAGTGGACTAAGCTTGCCTTTTAAAGCCATAGGTATTCACTGTGCAGTGTTACAACTTACCAGCTGCCGGCATCCTAACAACCAATTCTATCATTAGTTGATAAGGAGGATGCCTACACAGCATCCTTGTTTGCCCCTCTCCATCAGCACAGGGGGTCACATTAGCTGAGTGAAAGAGAGAAACTGAGGAAGAAGAGGAACATTGAAATACTAATCAGTACCAGTGTGCAAAAGTGTATTTGCTTTGGAAGAATAAATCCCCTCTAATGTTGGGTGTCCTACACGTGTGGATGGTGCCGTAAAACTATTAGAAATTTTTTTTGTCTTTTTAGAATGGGTGTCTTGAGATTTTCCATAATTTTTTTTTTGTTTACAAACAATTGAGATTTTCCATAATTTTAAAGGGTGCCTCGACTGAAAAAAGGTTGAGAAACACTTGGATACATGATTGGCAAGATGAAGCAAAGGTACAAAAAAGAAAACTTTGACTGTAATACTACTTTTAAAAAAACAAAAAAAAACAAAAGTAAACTGCACTCACAAAGTACCGTATTTTTCGTTATATAAGACGCACCTAGGTTTTAGAGGCAAAAAACAAGGAAAAAAAAAAATATTCTGACCAATGGACTGCAGACACACTACAGGAGATGACCAGAGACTGATGACACACTACAGGAGATGACCAGAGACTGATGACACACTACAGGAGAGACCAGTACAGACTGATGACACAGTACAGGAGATGACCAGAGACTGCGGACACAGTACAGGGGGAGATGACCAGAGACTGCGGACACAGTACAGGGGGGTGACCAGAGACTGCGGACACAGTACAGGGGATGACCAGAGACTGCGGACACAGTACAGGGGATGACCAGAGACTGCGGACACAGTACAGGGGATGACCAGAGACTGCGGACACAGTACAGGGGGATGACCAGAGACTGCGGACACAGTACAGGGGGTGACCAGAGACTGCGGACACAGTACAGGAGAGGAGACTGCGGACAGTACAGTACAGGGGATGACCAGAGACTGCGGACACAGTACAGGGGGGGAGACTGACCAGAGGACCAGAGACTGCGGACACAGTACAGGGGATGACCAGAGACTGCGGACACAGTACAGGGGGTGACCAGAGACTGACCAGAGACTGCGGACACAGTACAGGGGGGGATGACCAGAGAGACTGCGGACACAGTACAGGGGTGACCAGAGACACAGTACAGGGGGGGGGTGACGAGAGACTGCGGACACAGTACAGGGGATGACCAGAGACTGCGGACACAGTACAGGGGATGACGAGAGACTGGCGGACAGTACTGCGGACACAGTACAGGGGGGGATGACCAGAGACTGCGGACACAGTACAGGGGATGACCAGAGTACTGCGGACACAGTACAGGGGATGACCAGAGACTGCGGACACAGTACAGGGGATGACAGAGACTGCGGACACAGTACAGGGGGTGACCAGAGACTGCGGACACAGTACAGGGGGTGACCAGAGACTGCGGACACAGTACAGGGGGTGACCAGAGACTGCGGACACAGTACAGGGGGGGGTGACCAGAGACTGCGGACACAGTACAGGGGGTGACGAGAGACTGCGGACACAGTACAGGGGGGGGGTGACCAGAGACTGCGGACACAGTACAGGGGGTGACGAGAGACTGCGGACACACAGTACAGGGGTGACGAGAGACTGCGGACACAGTACAGGGGGTGACGAGAGACTGCGGACACAGTACAGGGGGTGACGAGAGACTGCAGTACAGGGGGACACAGTACAGGGGGTGACGAGAGACTGCGGACACAGTACAGGGGGGTGACGAGAGAGACTGCGGACACAGTACAGTACAGGGGGGACGAGAGACTGCGGACACAGTACAGGGGGTGACGAGAGACTGCGGACACAGTACAGGGGGTGACGAGAGACTGCGGACACAGTACAGGGGGTGACGAGAGACTGCGGACACAGTACAGGGGGTGACGAGAGACTGCGGACACAGTACAGGGGTGACCAGAGAGACTGCGTACACAGTACAGGGGGTGACCAGTACAGAGACTGCGTACACAGTACAGGGGGTGACCAGAGACTGCGGTACACAGTACAGGGGGTGACCAGAGACTGCGGACACAGTACAGGGGGTGACCAGAGACTGCGGACACAGTACAGGGAAAATACCAGGGACACAGTACAGACGACCAGAGACTGCAGACAGTGCAGGGAATGACCAGAGACTGCTGACCTTTGGGGAGGGAGGGGGAGCGGGTACCTGAATTTGACAGGTACCCGCTCCCACTTCCGCGGTGTTGTCTTTCCCTCTTCTTCTTGCGCCGGCTTCTGTGACAGCTGGGTGCCCACTGCGCTATGCGCGAGAAGCGCTGCGCTTTGTGAATGGCCCAGCGCCTTCTGGGACCTGTCATGTGTCCGAGAAAACACTGGACCATTCACAAAGCGCAGCGCATGCGCAGTGGGCACCCGGCTGTCACAGAAGCCAGCGCGGGAAGACTGCAACGCTGGAGCGAGGAACAGGTAAGGCCTTGCAGGAGAGAACAGCTGAGCGGCCGGCCCGGTATTCTGACATGGTGGCGGCAGAAATACCGGACCCGGCCGCTTTATATTCGCTCCATAAGACGCACTGACATTTTCCCCCCTTTTTTTGGGGGAAAAAAGTGCGTCTTATGGAGCGAAAAATACGGTAAGTGCTTGGCAAAAATCAGTGGTCATGACAGAAGACTGGGAGCTCTCCTATTATATAGCCAGAATTAGGGTTTCTTTGATGTTGTTCTATCCTTCTGAGCACTGTAACTGGTGGAGATGTAATGTCCTATGTATCCTGGTAGCTTGGATACAGCTGCTCTACTGACAATTCACTTTCTTCCAGTTTGGGTTTTCCATTCAACTCCCCCTTTAAAAAAAAAAATTTTTCATTCTTTTACATTTCATTTCATGCAGTGTATGCAATTACAATATGAAATCTGCCTGCCTTTTATCTGTTTCATCTTGTCAATGACTGCATATGACTGTTTCCATGACAGACGTAACGTCAGAGGCTGTTGGTGTTGCCATTGCTGCTCCTCCAACTGAAGGAGAGGCGAATGCTGAATTGTGCCGCTATCTATCAAAGGTTTTGGAAATAAAGAAGAGTGAAGTTGTTCTCGACAAGGTAAGTGACTTACCACTCCCCATACTTGGTGATAGCGACCATCAAACAGGCCCAGAATTGATTTGCAAGCTGTTTTGTGAGTTTTGCTCAAAATTTGTCAAACTCCAGTGAAGTCTATGGGGTCCAAATCTTGCTATTCAATTCAGGCCATTTATAGTGATGATAAATAAGTAGTTGTTAAATAAAAGGCATGGGGGGACTTGTACCAATGCCAAAAAAATACTGTACAGATGGGGGAGGGCCTGTTTCATGTAGCTTTAAATGAGATATTGAAAATACACAAATTCTTTAAAGTCGACTCCTACCCTTTTTCCTGATTTCAAATCAGAATTCATCAGTGCATGCTGATGTGAAATCATCTGACACTGATTTAAAAAAAAAAAAAAGAAAAAGGATTTTGATTGACTTACCTTTTTTGCATCCACTTTCTGGTTCCCTTAAAGGTAGTGGTAACAGCAGCCGCACAGTTATCCTGCACATGCGCCATATGACATACTGACATACGTTTTCTTACTTTCATACTTTTCGAGTTGTCCCAAATGACTATTTCCTACACTAACACGTGTGCCTGCTGGACACACTATATAAATGGTATATAGCCTTTGCTACATAATAGTATACAGTGCTGTGCTCTGGCTGTGGGACATGAACTTCCCATATCGCACCCGAAATAAAACTGAGCCCATGAATGGCTGAGCAAAGTTCAGCTTGACTCAATTTTTTTTTTTCTGGGTGTGGGCCAGGAAGGTCTCTTCCCACCCAGTGGACACACCTGTTAGTGTAGTAAATTGTGTGGGCCAGCTTGGCCTAATCAAACTAGTTAAAGTGACGGTAAAGCTGCAGATCAGCTTTAAGGCTTGGTTCACATATGTGCAGGTGGTGCCGCTGCGGATCAGCGCGAAAATCCGTGCAGCCGCACCACCCGCACAGAGGAATGCGGACCCGCGGCCTTTAGTTCTAATGGCACGCCGCCCGCACTAGAAAACGTAACCATACTGGGAACCTTGGGCTGCTTTTTCAGAAGTGCAGTGCAGGGACTTTTTCTCTGTGCGTCACGGGGCACGGGAGTCCATCCAATTGAATGGGCTCTCGTGACCGCACGGCCGCATATATGTGAACCAGGGGTAAATCTGTATGTGATGTTTTAGAGCAAGGTATCAAAGGATTTGCTGCCCATCACTGCCGTCAACAGTATAGCACATATCTATATTATTATTATTTTTTATTAATACAGGTAATTGTATAGTGCTGTCAATTTATGCATCGCTTTTCACATATATATATCATACATTCATATCCTTTGCTCCTGGTCAGTTAAGTCACAAGAGCCAATAATATGAAGGAATGGATCATGCAGCCATCACACTATACAAGGATGGGCTCATAGCAGCCATATAGTCGGATTCTGGGTAGTGGTTAGTAATTCCACCTATCAGCACTAGGGTTGTCGGTTCCAATCCTAACCATGACACCACCTGCCTGGAGTTTGCATGTTTTCCCTGTGCCTGCATGGGTTTCCTCTGGGTACTCTGGTTTCCTCCCACACTCCAAAGACATGCTGGTAGGTGAATTGTCTCCTGTCTAAATTGGCCCTAGCATGTGTATGTATTAAAGTTGTTTAGACTTTTTGGCCCCATTCATACTTGACCAATTTTTGTTTTATTTTTGTTTTTTATCTCTTAGTTTGTATAGGTGTTTTCCCACACAATTTAGACTTACAGTGTTACTAAACCCACAACAGTAAAATCAGTCTGTATATGCAGTAAAGCATGCTTGTTATACTCACTGTGGAACCTAAGGGGTTAATCCGCATTGTGTAAAAAGGCTGTTTGATCCTGACTTCTCTGACCCTCCCCTTCTTCCAGTGTCCCCCTCTTATCTCCTGATAAGATAAATTGTGTGGAGTCACTCTGCACATTTGGTGTGTATTGCTAGAGAGGGTCTTGTTTTTCTTTGGCCCTGTGCAGATCACTTGCACTCTCCCATCAGCATTGTCCAGACAGAGGTCAGGGGGTTCTGCATCCTTCTAGAGCAAAATGAAAACTCTTCCTACAAGCTTTAACCAGTGCTTTGCTGGACACTGATAGAAGTCAAAAGACTGCTATATACTGCTGATGAGAAAAGGTATTTAGCAGTTTATATTTACTAAACTAATTGCATTTCCATGTAGTGTGTACTGCGGGAGACCAGATATAGTGAATGCAGGGTCCGGGGGACCAGATTAGTGAATGCAGGGTCCTGGGTTTAGTAACACTTTAAGCTGTGTTTAGTTACTAGGCAAAAAAATATGCAAACAAAAATGCTTTATATGCATTTTTCTTGTGTTCTCATTGAAGTCTATTAGAGTCAATATGTGTGACTCTGTCCTAAATGAAGGTCATACATTGTTTTTTTGAGCGATGAGCTTCAAGCAACACTACACTCCGGTGTGAATGGGCACCACTGTATATAATCGAGCATGGAAAGTGCTTCTGATGAAATATCAAATCACTCGAGTGAATGGGGCCTTACATCGATAATGCTGCCCTTTGGAGTTGGAAATTACCTGGGTAGTTGAAATCCCTGTCCCGACCTTATGACAGCGTTTGGGCCTGGCAGTTGACTGGTCAGACCGGTGCACTGTCACATGGGAGAGGTCACATTCTCCCCCCATAACTGGAAGTCCTGTTCAGGCTTTCTCAATCAGCAGTTGCTAGGGGTTCCTTCAGATGTGGCTAGTTAAAGTGGAACTACACTGAATCTAAGAGCTACAAACCAAAAATACTGTTTAATTCATTTTTATTTTCAAAGCAACCCCCCCCCCCCCATCCATGTCTCCATGCTTTATTTTTTTGAGAAATCACTTTGAAAAACACCCCCCCCCCCCCTAGCATTTCTGGCTGTGGCCATCTTGAGTAAGGGCAGATGATTCATGGAGCATTTACCTCCTGAAATCCATCTGCCTTTAGCTCAGGCATGCAAGCAGGTGGGTGCGCTTAGCTGAGAAAGCCCCTCTTCCCCTCCTGAAAACTCATGGGATGCATAGCATCATTATGGCCTAGGTCAGACACCAGGAAGCAACTGAATAAAAGTAAAAAAAAAAATAATGAACAAGTAAATATAATAATCCCTTTAGATTGTAAGCTCCATGAGCCGGCCCTCCTATTCCTTCTGTATTGAACTCTATTGGAATCGTACTGTCCCCCTTTATATTGTAAGTGCTGCATAAACTGTTGGCGCTATATAAATCCTGTATAATAATAATAATATACCTTCCTGACATGCTCTGACATACAAAGCCATTCATAACGTTGCCCCAAATGACCTCACCGACCTGATATCCAAATACCACCCAACCCGTGCTCCTCACAAGACCTCCTACTCTCTTGCTCCCTGGTCTCCTCCTCCCATGCCTGACTACAGGACTTCTCCAGGACTTCCCCCATCCTCTGGAACTCCCTACCCCAATCCATCAGACTGTCACCTACCCTCCTCACCTTCAGGCGCACCCTGAAAACCCATCTCTTTAGGGAAGCCTACCCCACCCTCATCTAACAGCCGTTCTCCTCCACTCCTCCTACCACTCCATCCCCCACAGCCACTTCCTCCTGTGCCTCTCCCCCCCCCTCCCTCCTAGATTGTAAGCTCGAAAAAGCAGGGCCCTCGAACCCCTCGTTCAGTGTATTGTTACTGTATTGTCTCATGTTCTGTCCCCCTCGCTATTGTACAGCGCTGAGTAAACCCTTTGGTGCTATATAAATACTGTATAATAATAATAATAATAATGTGATCCACTGCAACACAGCTTAGAAAATGTAAGCTTTACTCCTGATAATTCAGCCTATACCATACAATGTGTGCAATGTATTATTACTATCAGCACGAACATGGCTTGATTTATTTTCATGGTGGTAGTTTAGTGGCAATAATAAAGTAGTTTATTTAAAAACAAGAACTGAATTTTTTCTCCGTTTCTAACAGGGAGGCAAAAGTCGAGAAAAGGTTGTAAAGATTTTAGCCACTACTACCATAGAAGCTGTGTTAGAGAAGCTGAAGAGTGAAGCAGGAAAAGGATGAATGGAAAAGAGGCATCCTTGTGTAATCAAAAACAGACTTGTAAGCACAATCAGTGCCAAACCACAGTGGCAAAAATCAATGCGTTTATAATATTCATGGCAAAAGTCGATGGACAACTGGGATGGCGGAAGTGGAAAGGCACAAATCTTCTCCAGCAGCTCCTCTTCAAGGATATGGGAAATCCCTGGTGAGGGTAAAAAAATTATATGAATTTAGAACCTCTTCAAAGGATCTGCTTCTGATTGCTTGGTGCAAGATACCACAGTGTACTTTCAGAGGACTTGGCTCCTGCGTGGTGCTGATTAGGATGCCTCTGTAATGGCGTTCAGGGAAAGATCCCATGCCAATAGCGCCTCAGTGAGTCTAAGGAGGCCAACCTCTGCCAGGCAGGAATGGGTTATAGAGTACCGTGCTCCCCCACCACATGGCTGTGAATGGGTTGGACATGCTCCCCAACACAGCAGCTAGGCCCACCACAAAACAGCCTAAAAAAATATGCAAGTCTGAATAAATGATTCTACATATTCAGCCTTTATCTGTGCTATGCTTCAATGATTCTGGAATTTGTATTGAGATCGTGTTTTCATTTCTTTGCACTGATAAGGTAAGTAACACCAACACTGCTGTTAAAATGAAAATGTATATTTTCAGAGCGATAATCTTCATGTATTATTACAGCAAAGTTACTTACTCATTACAAATTGTTACATGCCTGCGCTTCTGTATTTTTTATACTGCATTTTATATAAAGATTTGCCATGGAGTGGCACAGTGCAGTTACAACAGAATGATAAAACATTTAAAATACACAACAGATAATGATAAGATCATTTACACTAAGCCGATCTTTTATGTTTCTTTAAAAAAAAAAAACTTTTATGGTCAATTTAAAGCAGTATTAAACCCCAAAGCACACATTTAGTATATTGCAGCTTCCAATTCTTAGATGGGATGGCTGCATTCTCTTTTAGCCTTGGTTCCCTTTATTTTCACCTGGTGATCTGGCTAGTAAGTCTGTTGCAGGGGCGGACTGACCATTTGGAAACTCGGGCACTGCCCGAGGGCCCGGGGTCAGTAGGGGGCCCCATGAGATGCCCCTGGTACCTTTTTCATAGGCTTTTTTGAGTTTGGGTAAGGACACAGGGGCCCCATAAGTTGTCAGTCCGTCCCTGGTCTGTTGTTTTTCTACAGAACAAGCTGTCCTGCAGATGTAGCAGTTATAGGATTGAGACAAACTATTTACCATTGACAGGGGTGCTTGCAAGGCTCAGCTTTTTTTAATCATGTAATACCTTTATCCCAAAAGAAAACAAAACTGTTGTTGTAACTGACTATAGGGTGTAGCTGGAGTTTGGCTTCAATTTGTTATTGTATCAAAATCAGTTAGCTATCCGCTAACACTTCCCCCCCCCCCCCCCCCCCCCCCGACTGGCACTCTAATACAGGAGGTGTGTTACTGGCCAGATCACCAGAGAAAAACAGAGGAAGAAAGCCTAAAAAAAAAAAAAACTAATGCAGCCATCACATCTAATGATTGGTAAGCTGCAATATATCAACAAAACAAAATAGAAAAAAGGCTGCACACCTAATTGGCTAACTTCCATGCGAATTATATTTACACCATACTCAGTAATTGTCACGTGAGCCTGACGTGAAGAGGCAGGCCTCCCGTACAACTCCGGCTCAAGGACCACTGATGGTGGGACAGCGGTTGCAGGGGCACGGTGGGGTATGAGTGCCTGAGATCAGTCCAGTAATAGCTGATGAGTTGTAGGCAGGGAGCAGGATTCTGATGCAGCCATGCTGGATGGATGGATACTCTAGAGCTGCGTGCTGAGGATGCAGGGTCAGACGAGCCGGGTTCGGTATCGGTCAGGCAGATCAGGCTTAAGCGGCAGGAGGAAGAGTAGTCGGGTCACAGGTCAGGTCAGCAACGGAAGATCAATCAGACAGGAGTGGAGACAGAAGAATAATCCAAGACAAGCCAGAGGTCAGGGCAGGTAGTGATCAAGCGGAGGTCAGGAACAGGCTGGTTCAATATCAGGAGTCAATCACAGGAATCGGGGAACACAAGCAGGGATGAGACCATACGGCAATGGGACATCTACTGCAGCCAGTTTAAATAGCCCATTTGTGACAGGTATGCGCGAGTGCGCATGCCCACGCCTATGTCCACGTGCCTGCACATCTGTTCGCTCGTAAGGACTCTGTGCATGCGCATATTTGTGCACCGTGGAACTTCACCTGCACTATGGCCAGGCCTTTCCTGACAGTAATAAACCATCGGAGGTATGACAAACAATCCTGCATACCAGGGGACACCACCCCCCAACAGGGGATTCGAGAGAGGGGAGTCCTTGAGAACGGACCAAGGATGAAAAAATGTCCACTGGGACTACCCTACACCGATGTTAACCCTCCAAAATCCAACCCCTGACACTACCCACCCCTCCGATTGGTAGCTGCAGTATATGACCTCTAAGGTTTAATAGCTGATACACTCATATTTCAATGATTACACAATGCATTGATCACATGACTCACCATTCCATGGAATATACAGAAGATACTTGGCCAGATAAGATAGGAAGCTAGCAGCAAGTAAATGGTCTCCAGAATATATTTTTCTCCTGAATATTTTGTGCTTCCTACAAAAAACAATAAGCCCACTTAAGGGCTGCCCGCCCACCCACAATGTACTGCAGACGGGCAGCCCATACAGGCACAGTGATATACCTGCAAGTCGCTGGCCTCTTCCAGGTACAGGGTGCATGCACCCCTGCCAACTGACTCCCACTGTGATTGTACACAGCAGGAGTTTGTCAGCATGTTCCAGCTAATGATTCCTGGCTGGCTGCTTTGCTGTGTCCAATCACAGACCAGAGCCCTGTGCTGACAATCAACACAGGGCTCTGTATAGAAGGAACACTCTATTTGTAGTGCAATGGGAGAAGAAACAGAAATTTTTTTTTTGTAAAAAGCAGTGCATATTATACACATTAACACTTGTTAGGCACACAGTTAACTCCTGGATTACTCGAGATGTTAACCCTTTCCTATCCAGTGTCAATACAGTGACAGTGTATAGTATTACCACTGATCACTGTATTAGTGTCACTGGTGATGTCCATGTCAGTTCCCACCTAGTGTCCGATTGCCCACCACACTATCGCAGTCCCAATATAAGTTGCTGATTGCCGCCATTACTAGTATATAAAAAAAAAAAATTCCAGTATTTATATGATAGTTTGTAGATGCTATAACTTTCATGCAAACCAATCAATATACACTTATTAGAATTTAGTTTTTACCAAAAACATAAAGCAAAATGCAGTTTGGCCTAAATTAATGAAGAAATTTGATTTCTTGGCTATGTTTTATAACAGATGTTAAAAAATATTGTTCTTTTTCAAACTTGTTGATTTTTTTTGTTTATATAATAAAAAATAAAAAACCCAATGGCGATCAAATACCACCAAAAAAAAGGTCTATTTGGGTGAAAAAAAATGATGTAAACTTTGTTTGGGTACAGAGTTGCATGACCATGCAATTACCAGCTAAATTAACATCGTGCTAAATAGCAAAAAATGGCTTACTCATGAGGGGGGGGGGGGGGGGTAACACCTTCCGGAGCTGAAGTAGCTAATAAAAAACTAACAGGCAGGTTTTTTTATTGCAGAAGAGACATGCTATGTATAAGTTCACCTTTGGGAACATGTTACTTGTTCCACCTGTTTTTAGGGTGGAACATGCAACATGTTCCTACTCCTGGTGCCGCTGCATCTAGCGACATCTAGTGGGAGATCTTTTTCCCCTTGATAGCTGTCACTAATTCACTATTTAAAATAAAACATTCACTCAGCCGCGTCATTCATTCACAGAATTTTGTGAATGGAAAACTACAAGCACCAACGGCCCTTGCAGCTGTTGGCTTGTAGTTCTCAATGAAGTACAACTGGGGGAATCAATGGTGGAGAAGGATCTGGGAGTTCTGGTAGATCACAGGCTTAATAATGGCATGCAATGCCAAGCTGCGGTTTCTAAAGCGAGCAAAATCCTCTCTTGTATTAAAAGAGGTATAGACTCCAGAGAGAGATATCATTTCCCCCGGTACAAATCATTAGTAAGACCTCATCTGGAATATGCAGTTCAGTTTTGGGCACCAATTCACAAAAAGAACATTGAGGAACTGGAGAAAGTACAGAGAAGGGCAACCAAACTGATAAGAGGCATGGAGGAGCTCAGCTATGAGGAAAGATTAGAGGAACTGAATTTATTCTCTCTTGAGAAGAGGAGATTAAGGGGGGATATGATCACCATGTATAATACATAAGGGGGGGATATGATCTCCATGTATAATACATAAGGGGGGGATATGATCTCCATGTATAATACATAAGGGGGGGTATGATCTCCATGTATAATACATAAGGGGGGATATGATCTCCATGTATAATACATAAGGGGGGGATATGATCTCCATGTATAATACATAAGGGGGGATATGATCTCCATGTATAATACATAAGGGGGGATATGATGAACATGTATAAATACATCAGTGGTTCGTATAGTGAACTCTGTGTAGAGTTATTCATTCTGAGGTCATCACAGAGGACAACGGGGCACTCTTTACGTCTGGAGGAAAAGAAATGTAATCTCCAAACACGGAAAGGTTTCTTCACAGTGAAAGCTGTGAAAATGTGGAGTAGACTCCCTCAAGAGTTGGTTCTGGCCAGCTCCGTGGATCACTGTAAAAAAAGGTCCTGGATTCTTTCTTAGATACACAGAATATAACTGGATATAACATTTATAGGTAAAGTTGATCCAGGGAATATCCGATTGCCTCTCGGGGTATCAGGAAGGAATTTTTTTCCCTGCAGCAGCAAATTGGATCATGCTTTGCTGGGCTTTTTTTTTTTGCCTTCCTCTGGATCAACTGTGGGTATAGGATTATAAAATTTTTTTTTTTTTAATGTTGAACTGGATGGACTTTTGTCTTTTTTAAGCCAGACTAACTATGTAACTACCATGGTACTCTTGAGCACCGTCGTGGTTCACCTTCTCTTCCTGTCAGTGTGTGTCTGCCTGTCCATACGAGGTACAAGCACACAGATACACTGACAAGTCTGCAGGAGTCCTGCATGGAACCTGCGATATGCTGATCGCAGGTGCAATGCTTTCTAGGATCCAAGATAAAAAAATAATAAATGTATAATTTTTTACCTGCAAAAAGATGTGGATTTATTTATTTAAAAATTTTTTTAAAGGTGAAATTATTCTTTAAAGTTACTTACTTGACTGTTAGCACTGTACACTGAGCTGCGCACATGCAGCTCAGTGTAAGAATTACAGCAATGGTGAAATTACATCATGTAGTCTCGGCTACTAGAAACAACCGGGGATTGATACCTGAAAGCCATCAGGCTAAAGATGTCAGTGTGGAGCTCTGGGCATTCACAGCGCAGGAGAACAGAGGAGTATAGTTCTGCTTTAAATAATAACTGGACCTTCAATATGCATATTTCAAATAAAAGTATATGTACAGTGGGGAAAATTATTATTTGATCCCCTGCAGATTTTGTAAGTTTGCCCACTTACAAAGAAATGAAAAGTCTATCATTTTTATCATAGGTGTATTTTAAATGATAGATACAGAATGTCAACCAAAAATCCAGAAAAAAAAAACATGATACAAATGGTACAAATTGAGGTGCAGTTCAGTGAGTAAATAAGTATTTGATCCCCAAGCAAAACATGACTTAGTACTTGGTGGAGAAACCCTTGTTGGCAAGCACAGAGGTAAGATGTTTCTTGTAGTTGGTTACCAGGTTTGCACACATCTTAGGAGGGATTTTGGTCCACTCTTCTTTACAGATCAAATACCGATTTTACTTACTGAACTACAACTCAATTTATAACATTTGTATCGTGTTTGTTTCTGGATTTTCGGTTGATATTCTGTTTCTATCATTTAAAATACAAAGAAATGAAGGGTCTATAATTTTTTATCATAGATGTAAGTGGGCAAACGTACAAAATCTGCAAGGGATCAAAGAATTATTTTTCCCACTGCAAACCCTAAGTGACTGAAATACATTTTGCTAAAGCACTGTATATCATAAACAAATGCCCCTTTTTAATGAAAATACTTCTTTTAATCAATTTTTCA